TGACAAAAAAAAATAATGTTATAAACACAAATGCAATTATAAACTCATTATATCTACATAGAAATTCAACTAAAGCCAAACATGCTGATTATACAAGCCCATGTTGCACATATATTTTCGATTGAGGATATGTACCTGTATCCCAATACTTATCAAATAATTGGATAGTCTACTGCTTGAGGATACTTCTTTTAACATATCCAACAATTCACTATGTAGCCTAGATATAAAATGTATCTCATTTTTCCATATCATATCATATTCATGTGCGTTTATCTTGATGTATCCATATATGGAATTAAAGACTGTAATGCAGGAGTTAGTTTCACAATTTCATTTTATCTGCATTCTGCAAATGTATTTATCTCAATTGTCCATATCATATCATATTCATGTGCATTTATCCTGATGTATCCATATCATATGCCAACTAGTTCAACACAGTATTCACATCCATCGACTTGATAAAAGAAGACCATCAATTTGCCAAATATTTGGAGGTTAAGAGAAACAAATATCAAATGTTTCCAGTTATAAACTATAAGCAGGTTTTTTTTTAAAAAAAATCTCCATAGATTCCTTCTCAGCTCTTCACACTTCACAGCACTCTATCACGCAATGGAATTGAAACCAGAAATTTCAATTCTGTAACGTATAAATTATAAATTATAACAAATCAAACAACTCATCATAAGACAGTGTAATCAGAAGAAAACCATCCATCTACTTTCTAAAACTGCATCCCTAATCAGAAAGAAAACAATCAAAATGCCTTCATTCTAAAACCACATCAGTATATGGCAAATAAGAAACATATCTTAAGCGTTAAATGATATTTCAAAGTTAATATTGGGTCCTGACTGGCCCTTCCTCTCAAATGAAAGAAGGGGCAAAAAAAAAGAATGTTAATTAAATACCTGAAAGTATTGAATACAAACTAGTTAGAAAGTGGAAACCAAATATCTATCAATATACATGATGCACAGTCATAACCGGCACCGATACTGTATCACCATACATCAAAATATCCTGATTTTGGACTCCTTTTGAGCATTAACATTAGTGTTTACCCCGATAAATTTTGACAGCAAAACGAACATCTGTTACATGATGTGAGAACCATAAAGAGTAGTATTAACTTTCATGTTAGGTTTCAACAATAATTTATGATCGTAGGAATTTGTTGCTTATACTGGTAAGTAATGTCACAGTATAGTGAGCATATCAGTGTTTGCATGTGCGCGTGTTTGGTTTATGCCCTAACAGAGAATTTGAAATGGGGTTTTACAGCTCATTCAGCAACAGAAAATAGTATGAATCAATTTAAACAAGGATGACAAGTATCGCATTAAAGACTAATTGGAGAAACCTTATAGAAAACCCAAAGACATCAAATTTTCAAGGACGCTACTTTTCCTGCAAGCAATCAGGAAGCACTAGAATTTTTCTTCACAAGTATAAAACTCTCATAACTGAAGATGGTAGGTCCTCTCATCAGTTTTCAAGAAAATAGAAAAAAATATACCTTTGGAACCTAGATATGCAAACGACAAACTGATCAAGCAAACACAAGATGCTTATCCAGATACAATCAAATAATACTTCAAAAAATCCCATATAAACCCAAAACCCATAAAGAATCCGTATCCCAAATGATCAGATTCCCAATGTATTTCCAGTAATCCTCTGTTCTTCCAAATACAAAATTCATGTAAAACAAAGAAAGATTAGATTTTTTCCGATTAATCTAAATCCCTGCAACAGAACAACTAAAGCCCGAAACTTTGTAATCTTCACCTCATCAACATGCTAAAATAACAGCAAGCAGTCATTTTAGACCAAAAACCCACATCAGAATTCGATTAAATTTCATCCAAAAAGAAAGAAGAAAGAAAGAATCGTGAACCTGAGCATCTTCTTTGGGTTCAGAGTAGATGAAGAAGAAATATCCGATCAAGAGTCCGAAGGGAAGACCGAACACGAATCCAATGACGGCCAACAGGGTGCCCACAAAACCCATTTTTGGATCCGACCCGATAAATGCATCGAGGATTTAATGAAAGAGAAAGAGCGAATTTAAACAGAGAATGGAGTTCGATGGGCTTCGGAAATGACGACTATTAAAGAGACGATGGACGCCCAATTTCTCCGACCAAAACCGCCAAAAACTATGAATCCTTGCTCGCATTCAACCGCTTTCGTACTTCTCCCCTAATTACCAGTTTGCCATTACCCTGCTGTTTTTTTTAACTTATGGAGTGACCATGGACACTCTATAACAGAGGAGAGAGATAGAAAGAAATGAAGTATGCACAGAAATTAATGCAAATCAGAGGGGCCCATGAGTTATTCATTTCTCTATATCTCTCTCATCTCTTATAGAGTGCTCATGGGCACTCTATAGAAAAACCGTTTTACTTAATATCCTTGTAATAATGCGTTTTACCGATGAGACGAAATCGAAGCTTAGCTCTTAAATAAATGTGCATGAGTTTCCATTTTATTTTCCCTGTTGGAAGATTAAGCAGAGTGATTAATTTTGACTCTCTCGTTTTACCGCATGCATTTAGTACTTTTAATTAAAAAACTCAAAGCATAACTAATGTAATTATTACTACTATTTTTTATTAATTAAAAAAATTCAAAGCATAACTAATGTAATTATTACTACTATTATTTATTTATTATTCAAAAGGGTGAATTTTCTTACTAGCAATAATATGGAAGTAAAACAATTTTGGCAACAAGGTAAATGCGTTAATTACTTTAACCTTTTTTTTTTGTTTAAACTTTTCAACCCCAGAGATTATGTTGTTATTTATTTCCACAAATGCCTCTATCATATATTCTTCTATGCGAAGTAATCAATATGGCCAGCCGTCTTTTCTTAAATGGACAAATTAGAATTTTCTTTGAAATTTTCGCTTCTTTAAAAATGCTCTTAATTCTTGCCAGGTCATTTAGTAAAGAGTTACACGCGTTCTCGTGGGTCCTCCATTAGGCTCAACCATAAAAATGCTTCGTTTTCTAGGACAATTAAACCTGTTAAACTCTGCCATTTTTTATCATCATTTTTTTTTAATATAAAAAGACAAATGTATCCCTCTAGCTTCTCATTTTTTTTACTAAAATCTCTTTATCGAACCTTTTGGTTGGCAGGCCAACAACCTAGGAATTGTAGAGCATAAAATACAACTGGAAGTAAAAAATAATCGAAAAGTCCGATCTTTACACTTTGTCCTTTTCCTTTTCCTTTTCCTTCTAGGCTCCTACGTATATAATCATTTTTAAGGACTAGATAGAACTGGCAAAGATAACAAATGCTAACTCAAGTTTGTCGTAGGAAAAATTTTTTAATTAGTAATTTTGTTGATGTGGAAATTAAGCTTTGACAGCTCATTTGCTTCATTTGAAAAAGAAAAGATCAAGTGGATGGTATGTAGCTTCCAAAGAACTTGATGTCAAAGTAATTTGCTTTCTCTCGTTGAATTTTAAATATTAATTCACGTAATATGTTTCTAAATTATGTCGAATCTATTGTTATCTAGGTAAAAGACGCTCTAGATATAGATAAATATCACTCATGGAATTATTATTATTATTTTGAATCACATAGAAAGAAGGGGAACACGATAAATATTCATTTTCAAGTTGACCATTATATTGAATTTTTTTTTGTTGTTGATAAAATATTCCGCTTCATCTTGTAAAACTATTAAGATTCTATTAACTTTTTTGTTGGATTTTTTGATCAAAACTGCTTTCCAAAAATGAGTTTTCAAACTATGTATTTATTAATTACCGGTATTTTTTAGAAATCCTTAGTAGCGTAGCGGAAAGCTTTCCAAAAATGAGTTCTCAAACTATGTATTTATTAATTACTGATATTTTTTAGAAATTCTTAGTAGCGTAGCGGAAAGTTAAAGTTTTGGTGTTTCAAAAGGTCCTGTGTTCGAGGCTTGTCAACGGCCAATTAATCCCTCATAAGTTCCAGTGGGCTGTGGGCTCGTGGGCCAATGGATCGGGGATCGAGGCTAATCGGGCTGAGGTGTTAAGTGGCGCTTTATAAGGCGCAATTTGCACTTTGCACGAAAGCATCTGGGGGGGATAGGTGGCGCCCTTTAGCGCCACGAAGGCTACTTCGTAGGCTGCTTCGCAGCAAGGTAACGCGACCCTCGCGTTCACACGAGGGTGCGACCCTCGTGTTCGCGTTGGGTAGAAACACGACCCTCGCGTTCAAACGTTTCTACATGCAACAACAATTATATCGATTAAGTCATTTGCTGTTACAATCATAATTATCATTGCGATTTGTAACAGTCAAATGACCCTTGAGCTGGCCTTAGAGGCCTATAAATAGAGCCTCTTGGGGCAGCTCTCATACATACAAAAAAACACATTGAAGTGTTTAAGTTATTGCGCTACTGCTGCAGAGTTTGAAAGTGTGCAAGCTTTAGTCTGTGCCCAAAGAAACAAAGCCCTGAATCGAAAGGTTATTACAGATCGAAAGATCTTTGTCTTAACCGAACCGAAAGGTTTTAACAGATCAAGGAGATCTTTACCTGAACCGAAATGTTTTAACTGAAAGGTTTTGAACTGAAATATTTAACAGATCGATGAGATCTTTGCCTTGACCGAAAAGTCTTATAGATCGAGGAGATCTTGACAATACTTGATCGGTGCACACTAATGTACTGTACTGCTGCTCCTGGAAGCAGTTTGGCATTAAGATCATTGCACCGGAATAGGCTAAATATTACTTTAAGCATAGCATTTCATAAACCCACAGCAGCTAAACTTGAAAAAGTTTTAAAAATGGATTAAGATGTTAAAACTTTTGATTGCCTCTTTTACCCTTCCAAAATTTGATAATTTTCAATAATATATCAAAATTTATTCAATTCATGATATTTATTACACTATAATTATTCTTGCAATAAACATAAGAATTAATATTAAAAAACTTAATATATACTATAAACTTTAATCATATTCCTCAAATTTTATTTAACTAGTATGCAATACGTGCGTTGCACGTGATGCATATTAAAAAACTATAAGAGTTAAAATTCATAATGTTTCCATAAGTATGCATTGAACTTAGTTAATAAATTATATATTATATAATGTTTCCATAATATTATATTATTTAATAAATTATATATAACCATTAAAAATTATTTTATTGCACTATGGTTAAAAAATTTTAACTTATACTAATATCAGTACTTATACTATTATTAACATACATTTAATAGTTATTTAAAATTTTCTATTATTATTTTATTAAACAATTTATTTAGGAGTATAATTATTAAATAATAATATAATCATTAGTTTAAGTAACACTATTGATATAAATAAACTATTTAAATTATTAAATATTTATGTCATGTACATATTTTATTACAATATCTATTAAATAATGGCAATAAATTTTAATATTATATGACTTTATGTTGTAAAGAATATTACCTTGTTCGATAATTAATATCGTCTCAATAATAATAATTTGGATGGTATAAATTAAAAATACTATTATTTTGAAAAAAATTTAAATAAAAATATTGGATCCTTGAAATATATGAGACATTTACTTTCCAACAAAAAATGTATGACTCATAAATTTCAAAGATCCAATATTTTATTGCACTATGTTCATAATGTCTAATTTTTATGACTAAGACGATATTATAATATAGAAAAGGGTATTAATTGTTATAATATAAAAAACCTATTTATACTATTATTAATAATTATAATTATGCACAATATTTTATTAAATAAATAATTTTACTATTTCATTACAATTAATAAATATTTCATAATAAATTATAATATATTTATTAATTTTATTATCATTATAAATTATTAGTATATTCTAGCGAGTGGCTAAAAATTTTGAAGAAAAGAAGACAAAAGTATATGCCTCATAAATTTCAAGGATCCAATTTTTTTATATAAATTAATTTTCTATTTTCTAAAATAAAAGTATTTTTAATTTATAACATCCAAATTTTTATTACTAAGATGATATTAATTATCAAACAATGTAATATTCTTTATAAGATAAAGAAATAACCATATTTATACTATTATTAATAATTATAATTATATCCAATAATTTATTAAATGAATGACTTTTACTATTTTATATAATTAATAATTTTTTACAATAAATTATTATATACTCATAATTTTTTATCATTATAAATTATTAATATATTCTAGCGAATGACCAAATAATTTGAGAAAATAAAAAGGTGCATAGTTAATGAGAGGTTATGGATCATTAGTTTTATAATTAATGGTATGATTTTGAGTTATAAGAAATTGAGAGGGTAAAAAAGGAAATCAAAAGTTTTAACATGAGTATTCTCTTTTATAAGTAGTATAGATATAGATTCATTCTATTTATTACACTATAATTAATCTTGCAATAAACATAAGACCTAATGTATATCATAAATTTTAACAATGTTAGTCTTATGTTAAAACAGATAAATATTTCACTTTAGATATTAGGTTTCATATAATAAATATAAAATTTTAATATATATGATAATAATATTGTAACTTATATTTATAAATTATATTGTAATTTAAGATAGTTTAATAATTAATTAAAAATCTAAGATCTAATCTAATACTATAATATATTAATATGTGTGTCTGATATGTAAAAGATTATATCAAAGATTCATGGAGAAGAATATTGATATAAATGCTAACATCTTAGTATAGCCTAGAAATAACATATAAAATTATCATGATATATGTTTCTAACTATTACAATACACTTATCATAATATTTGGATATAAGGTAATTCTAAGTATGCAGAATTCCAAGCGGTGTGGGAAGTTAGTACATTTACTATTGACTACTAGATGTGGAAATGTAATTTTTAAAGAAGAGGAGACGGTATTTAGAGATATCCAAAATGGAGCGGAGCAACACTTGATTTTCAGACGTTTTTGGACGATGTTCAGCGATATTGCACATGACTCGAGAAATGGAATTATCAGGTAATTCGCCAAACGAGGAATGTAACAGCTCATGCGTTGGTTTCGAAGAGCTAAGAAAATTGACGATTTTGTGGTATGGTTACCACTATTTTACACAATGTTCTACAGTTTGACAAGGATCAACGTTTATCCACATCCTTTTATTGTGCTTCTAGGTTTTCAGTTTAGTTTAGACGTGTCTTAATATTTTTTTTCCATAAAAAACTATTGCAATATAATAACTAGATCCTACAAACAAAGTAATTTATGACATCTATCATTCTAAATCTACTAATAATACATTTAATATCAATATTAGTGAGAAATGAACCCATAATTAAAGCATCATGTATCTTGTCTCACTGCCTAATCAAGTTCTATTAATTAATTATCCATTAATTATTTTATGACTAATCTTTTTCCATAAACACTCCACTTGGATCTCAAGAGTTGCCTAAATTATACTATATATGGACGCTCAAATGCACAAAAAAACACTAAAAGAATCAAAAGAAAAAAGTGGGAAAAGTGAGAATTTTAATAGTGGAGTCAGTTGCTCGATTATAGTAACAGTGATACCTCACAGTCAATAAGATTTCATATGTGGTAAATTAGAGAGAAGATTGTATTACTTTTCTTTGGAGGAAACGAACAGGTCTACAACTGATTTCACCTCCAATTTATGAAAACAACATCAATATATTATGCTTCATTTGGATACTATGGTATTTTGTTTGTTTCCATAGTATTTTTGCCAAAAACAAAACACCATGCTTTTGAAAACTATGATATTTTTGAGCTAAATCATCCTCAAACGAAAAACACAACACTTATTTTAAAATAACTTTTAGATGTTTTAAGTTTGGTGTTTTGATTTTGAGTTTGAGAATGTGTTAATATAATATCTAACATAATATATTAAATATAATTAATACATAGTTATTATCGGCATGCTAATTATATTATATTATATCATACTATACTATATTATAGTTAATCTAATATATTAGTAGTATTTATTGAATAATATAAAAATATAATACTATTATATCCTATATAATAATATAATAACATATTAAACACTATTATTTAATATGTTGATAATGTATTGTGTATTAATAAATAATAATAAAATATAAATAAACTAATAAAAAATAATAAAGAAGTTCCTGATAATAAATAATAATATAATAATGATATAATAATATACCATACAATACTATAATCACTATAATATTACTAACTTCTTAATAAGTAAATTGCAAAATATTATTAATAAACTCTAACATGTTAGAAACTATAATATATTATATAATAGTAAAATATTTATAATATACTAATTTATTAATAATATTCTTTTAATAAGATAATTTAACATTAATAATTATATTATATTATATTAATAATAGTATAATATTATATTAATAATAACATAATATTTTTTAAAATATTATATAATATATGATAATAACAAATTGATATACCAAAATAATTAAATGTATAATTATTTGAAAATAATATGTAATAATTATAATATAATATAACACATTAAAGTAATGTTGATGTATTAGTGATCACATAGTCAAAGTGTCTCTGCTTTGGGATGAAGTAGAGGAGATTGATGAGGGGCGCCCTCTTCTCCGACTTTATGTCTAGTTCTTGACTAAGATAGCTGAGGAGTCTGCACAAGTAGAAACTCGTGAGTGGATGGGAACTAGTTCCCCCGTTGTACCTCTGACGATCCAGTTAGATGGTAAACTTGACGTTGGGCAAAAGAAGAGTCCCAACTAATAGTCCCTCCTATGTATTTTTTCTAGAGTAGTTTTTCAACATAGAGATCGACCCCCTTTTGAAGGGGAATAGTACATGTATTTATACTGAAGGGTAAGGGCAGATTGGTCACTTTAGTCGAGTACGAAGAAGTAGTGACGAGGTATGGGCTGGTGGTTATGTCAGCACCTTTTTTGCAGATATCAGTTGGCGACTGGAGGAGAGGTCACTTCGGCATCAGGTGGGAAGTAACCGATGGCATGGCAGGGCATGGGCTAACAGCTGAGCAACTTCTGCTTTATAGGTGGCGCCTGACAGCTAGGGGAAAGATCATTTCAGTATTGGAGAAATCGTCTTTAGCGTCGAAGGGGTAGTGATTAATAGCGTGGTAGAGCCTACACCGATGTGACAAGTCATGAAGGCTACTAGGGCTAAGGTTCTGATGAGACTTGTCCAGTGTTGAGTGTGGTGTTGACACGTAGCCAAAAGGGATGGGCCCGAGGCAGGGGGTGTTCTTCGCATTTGCCGAGAGGCAACGCTTTTCGAATCGCCTGCCAAATGGTCGATTGGACTCGCGACGAGCCGTCTTCGACAAAAGGGGACGACAAGTTTCGTCCTTTGAGTCGACGTGATGGGATGTCGAGTGGTCGAGTCGGCGGAGTGGTCACTTCTATTAATCTCTGGCCGTCAAGTTGATTGGGGCAGAGTTCGCAGATGTACACTTGGTAAATAAATTGTACTCAGACGGATGGTAAATACCATAACAAGTACAATATAATATTATAATATATTATACAATATTATATTGTACCATATTTAATATTTATAATACTACAATGGTGTAACCTAAATATTATAACATTTTATTTATAATATATTTTATTATAATTAATATATAATATATTAATAATATGTTTAATACTAATGTTGTAACGGGTCAAACTAGTGTTGACAAAAAACACTCAACATGGTATTTTGAGAACACTTTTAAGGAAAAACACAACACCATGATGTTTTTTTTATAAAAACACAATAAGAAAAACACCATGGTATCCAAACGAAGCATAATTTATATAAGTATGCACATTCGTGAAGAGAAAAACTAATATAAATGTCAATAAATTCATGGGTAGTGGATGGCTGGGGGATTTGTTTGAGTCGTCGTCGTTGTTCTAAAAAAAAGTCATGCTAAGTGCAATATTAGTTGGCCTTCGAATGTTTAGTCTCATATCGGACTTAATATGCATTATGTGCAAAGCACGTGTTACATAGTAGAGTAAATAGGAAAGCACATTGGACGTTGATTATTGATAAAAAGTGGACGGAAAATAAACATGGAAAATGAAAGTGGAAAGAAGGAATGAAGAGTGAATAGCATGGTAAAATTATCCTTTTTTTTTAATGTTTTTGAGGAGATGATCAGGTGTCAAATAGATTGTTAATTGAATAGAATAGCATTAAATCCTCCAAATCTAAAATTGAAAAATGTGCATAGCGTGTGAGCTAAAAAGTCAACTTTATGCGCTTTTTTAATTAATTACTTACCTTGGAGCTGCAATTCCCTTGTGTGGTTATCACATTGACTAGAGCTGGTAAAAAGGCACGTCTGTGTTTTCAAAACCTGAATGCATATATCGTATTAGTGTTCGCTATTGATACTTTTCAAAAAAAAAAAAAAAAAGATTTAATGTAATTTGTGACCTCAGATGGTTCATACAAGTCCTTCGTGCGTCTTGTCATTATTTAATATATATATATATCAACCTTCCAAGTTCATGATCAAGCAACATTGAATTTCTATTCTTCACTCAAAATCAAACATAGAGAAAGGGGGTCCAAAAGTTGATATTTTCCTTTTCCGCTTCTTTAACGTGATCAATGACAAGACGAAACACATGAAAATATCTGAGGCGTGACCATGTGTGCTTCCTCGTGGAAGATCATAAGCTGATACTTGATCACATTATCTACATCAATAATATTAATGAATTAGTTGGCCTTCAATTAAGGAGCACTTGCTCATCCCTTGCACCGGTCAAATAAAAATATACGCACAAAACTAGACGTGGGGGGAATAAGGAAAATGATAGGGGCAAACCTCCAACCACCTCCAACCACACCCCCTCTCTTGCTACAGTGCACTGGGTCACGGTGCACTGTAACAAGAGAGGGGATGTGGTTGGATGTGTGGTTGGGGGTGTACCCCTAGTACATCCCGAGGGAATAACTCCCAAAACAACCAATAGCTTTCTTTATTATTATTATTTTTAAATATAGAGGATTTACAAAAAAAAAAAACCCAATGGGGTAAGTTTGGTTAAGGGTGTTTAAAAAAAAGGTATTAGTGTCCTTTGATTTATTTTCTCTTTTACCGGTCCGTGCGAATATGAAGACACGTACGTATTGTCCAAATAAATAAAAAAAATACTTTGTATCCGATGCTTGATAAAATCGGATCAAACTGGATATGAACCAGATTGATGGGTTCTGAATAATATATTGGAAGAAATACAAATTAGGTTTTAATGTAAAATTCAATAGCATGATGTTCTTAAAAGAAATAATATATTCCGTTATAACATCTTAACCATATCTATGTTTTAAATAGAATGCATGCGGGTGTTTATAGACGTTGAATCGAATTCGGATGATGAGATAATTTTTTTTACGTTGACGTTCGAAAGGACGGCCCTTGAGTAATGTTGGGCCGCAACATACAAACAATGTCGGCCTGCTTACATTAGTATCGGGAAACGGGTCGAAACCCGATCCAATATAAAATGACTACTTTGAACGGGTGGCTCTCCTCCGGCCCCCGTTGACCTGATCAACAGTCAAAAAAAGCCCACACAGAAGACAACGTTGCACACCAATTGTACTAGTCTCCAGCTAATAGAGCTGGCAAAAATTGACCTTGAAAATTTTGAAGCTCATTGCAGTGTTTGACTTTCTCCTCTCTCTCTCTTCCCTGTGCTCTCTAGTATATAACAACTCGCGCACAAATTTTCTCCAGATCGATCACTCAAAGCCATTCTCAAAAATCCTCTTCCTTCTCGTTTCTTCTCTCCTTCTCTAAATAAAGTCTCTTTTTGAATTTTAGGGGGGCAAAAAAAAAAAAAAATGAACTACATCAGCAGAAAGATTCACCTTTACAACGTGACCATGGGGCTCTACATGCTTGACTGGTGGGAGAGATGTCTGTTCAGTATCCTTTTTAATTAGTTCTATTGATTTGATTTCCCATCAATTAATCTGTTTACTCTGCTGATTACTTTTTTTGGCTTCTGAATATGATTTTTTATGGAAATGGGGGGGTTTTTTTTTCCTTAACTTTGAGTAGACATGTTGATCATGGTGCTGCTTTGGTTCGTGTGCTACAACGGATCCAAGTCTACAATGGAATTCTACAACAAGTAAACACTCTTAATTACCCTTCTCTTCTTACTAATCAAAAATGCCTTAGGGACCCCCAAACAGGAGACCTAAAATGGGGGGACAGGTGAGGTGTGCATCCGCGAATGCATGATGCACTGTTCGTGAACAGTGCATCATGCATCTCCCGGGTCTCCTATTTGGGGTCCCCGTAGCAGCACCCTTTACTAATTCGTCAAACCGCACAACTTAATGCCTCTCTGCTTTGTATATTTTCACATACGTCGAAGAGGCTAATCCTTGTATTAATTTTCTCCAGTCATCTTAAATCTGCCATTTTTGTCGGCGGAAACTTCGGAGCTGGGGCAACCGTACCATCTTAATCAGCATTAAGAACTGGCGCTGTGGAGCGTGTTCTCCGGGAGCAAGGGGAAATTTTAATTAGGGTTCATTCCGTCCATCGTCTTCTGTATTTTTAGTCCCAAATGTGTAACGTGAACGTTGTTTGTACAAGTCGAATTAAATAAATAAATAAATAAAGTCTTCTTTTGACAGATCGGACGTTGGAGTCTTGTTTCTAGTCAACAAAAAGAAAATATTAATAAATAAATAAACCCAAATAAGATGTAGTAGATAGACGGCATGTCCGAATTAAACATTATCCAAACGAAGAAATGGGCTTCAGGTCCGAAGGAGTTTCTTAACCTCACGTGAGAAAACTTAAGAGTGAAACGGGCCTAAGGCCCAACTCCATAGTTCAACTACAACGAACACTTCGTATTAAAGAATTGGCCGGGCGCGCGTGCGCGTACCCCCTCAGCAACAAATAATGACGGCCACTCTCCCAACTTGGGGAGATGGTACGCCAGCGCACCCACGGAGTGCAATGTGGGCCACTGACCTAGGCCTGGGCCTTCCTGGTCACCCAAGGACCCCGTCCAGGTAAGTATGTTTAATAGTCGCCCGCCCTCCTAATTTTATGGCCATCTCAGCCTCCTTGGCTTCCCAATGCAGCCGATGTGGGACTAATAGACTTCGAAATTCAATCCAGGGAAAAGATCGATCTCCTGAGGATTTATAGATCTTTTAGGTTCATCGTGTTGGTTATGCGTTAATGACCTGCCTGCCTATTACGGACTACACCAGTCATATATATATGTAATTTCTCATTTTGGTGGACTCCTGTGTTAAAGTTTCAGTTACGGATTAAACTCACATTGAATTACATGTAGATCCTATTCAGATAACCCTAACGCACTTTCAGCATTAAATATATAATATTTTTTTAAGTGCTTCCAATATTTGACATGTTTTTGTTTTTTATTATTATTACTGATTCATTTTCATTAAGATTTATTTAATTTAAACCATGTATCAAACATATGGATAGAATTTAAAATTTTTAAAATGATTGAATAATGAAATTATATTTATGTAGCAACTGGGTGATAATAGATTGTTTGCATCCTTAACAATAGAAAACAATGAATAATTTTATAAGAGAATTTTATTTGATATGCACCATTGAGTTTCAATCAACCAATCCTACCTATATACAGATGACAGTAGACGACCTATTTAATCATAATCATCCACTATAAATGTTACTAAAATAGTAGCATCAATTTTTTTTTCTTTAGTCTTACTTATTTCTATCTCCTCAAAACAATTAGTAGTTATGCAACAAACACTAGAGATACTATGAATATCTCTCTTTATCATTGGATATTTTGAGCTTTAATGGTTTGAAATTTGTTTCGCTAGAGATACTATGAATATCTCTCTTTATCATTGGATATTTTGAGCTTTAATGGTTTGAAATTTGTTTCGAGCGGTAAGCTACTTATGCCTATTAGGAGCATTGGATATTTTGAGCTTTAATGGTTTGAAATTTGTTTCGAGCGGTAAGCTACTTATGCCTATTAGGAGCGTGAGATTTTCTGATTACTGTAGATGTTAAATACCACACAGTCAATTAATCCAGAAGAGGATGGTTGCGGGGTGATGGAGAATGATGGAGGGATCGCTCCCTTCTTCAACTTTATGCTTAGTTCTTGAACAAGGATTTGATGCCCACACTACACAGACAAGAAGAACCCGTGAGAGGGCGGGGACCAGTTCCCCCGTGATTCCTCCGACGGTCAAGTTAGTTAATGAACTTAAACTTGAGCGGAGTTTAGAACTGTATGTTCTTATGCTATGTGCGTTAGAGATTATTATCTCTCAGGTTTAGATCAGGAGGAAGATTTAAAATGCTCAAAGAGTTTTTTTCTTAGGTTCCCCCCCCCCCCCTTCTGAAGGTGAACAACCTCCATATATAAAGTGGATGTCCCTGGCAGACTGTTATTTCGGCCATACAGAATGACGGTGATAAAGTATGAACTAGAAGGCGAGTCATCCCTCGCTCTACAGGTGTCGACTGGCGACTGGAGGGGATGTTATTTCAGCATGGGAGATGGTGTCTCCGCGATGTCTGGGAAGCGACTTGTGAGTGTGGCAGAAGTCACGTGGGCATACTGAGTCGTCCCTCGCTTTACAGATGTCGACTGGCGACTGGAGGAGGAGTTACTTCATTATGGGAGAGAATGTCTCTGCATTTCCTAGGAAGTGATTGAATTGACAAGTCATAGAGATCTGTCAGGCCAAAATCTGGATAAGGCTTGTCCAAAGTGGACTGAGGCGTCAACATTTGCTCTGGGGGAGAGGCTTGAGGCGCGGGTCGAGCCCTCAATTTAGTCGACAGCAAAGAATGTCCACTAAGTCGTTTCTGAGAAATGTCCATTAAGCGGCTGAGTGCCCTAAATAGGGTCGTCCCCGTTGATAGGGTCGACCGGTACCGCCTTTCGTGTTGACTCAAGAATGTCGTCCTGTCTGACTGGTTAGAATGTCGTCTTACCTTAGCTAAGAACCGTCTTTCGAGTCGATATAAAGATGTCGACTCGTCTGGGAGGCCAGGATCTCTCGTATCGACTCATATCGCCTTTCATGTCGACACTAGAGTGTTGGCTTGATGATCTGGCAGAGCCGAGGACTCTATGATTGTGCATTGGGTTTATTCCTGATAAGGTACCAATGGCTTGAAATTCGACTGAGGAGTCGAATGTCTAGAACTCTTGAGGGTTGACTAGGGCTCTTATTGTATTATTTTGTAAATATTATTTCTTGGGTGAGTAAATACCATAACAATTACATGTCTATGAAGTTCATCGAATCAAAGTAAATCGCAAGATTCTAAAAACTGCGAAGATAGTATAGAGCAAGAATTTTTGAGAAGGCAAAGAAACAAAGAATCATACTCTTAAAACAACAGTTCTATCATTGATAAAATAAATTGCAGATGAAACCAAAGGAGGAAAACCATGATAGTATAACTAAAAAGAATCATATTTGTCTTTACAGATATGGATCAACTTTAATTGATATTTCTCCTGTAGAGTTCACTCTCAGATTGCACTCCAATAAGTTTCTTATTAGAATGAAATTCAGATGTCGCATAGATCCACCTAAGCTGACTTATCACATGCTAAAAATAATGACATATAGAACCATTGACTCACCAAAGCTTCTTTTGAATTATTTGCTACCCGAGTTTTTTTAGTAAGTTGCATGTATTTACGGCTTGTCCCGATGAAAGGCGACGAGAAGGCTCTGCTAAGCAACCACTTGTTCTCCCTTCTTTACCACCTAAATTAAAGTTTTCAAGTATGAAATTTAGTAATTGCTAGTCTGGCAAAGCTATTTTGGCAGTAGTTAATAAAAATGAAGATATTATAAACATATTTTATGCATATTAGGTCTATGAAAAAATGTCCGTGTTAATGAAACACAACAAATGAGTGGCATAGAAGCAATTGGTCTAAAAATAGATAAGACATGTACTGGAGCAAGCATGAAAGAGAAATTTTTTTAATAAAGAAGAAAGTGAAACTGGATGTATTATATGACATAAACAGATGTAACAAACTTAACAAAAGACTCCCAAAGGAATAACTAGCAAAACCAACTACCAGATTGCCTATTGACATTACCAAGAGCTGGTGCCAACCCAGATAGGTCCTACTCCAGAACCCTATATAGAAGATTAAAAATGAGCAAGGTGTTGCTATGATAGAGAAAAAAGAAACCAAAACAAATGAAAACCTATCTGCAAGAAATTAAGCCTGTATATGCAAGACTTACAAGAGGTCGTGGAGGAGTGCTAGCAATTTGTGATTGGTGATACTTCGATATGGTCCAATCAAACACATAATCAAATAGAAATCTTGTAGATTCAACATCATTCAGATATCTAAACCTGCCATCGGATAAATATGAACAATATGAGTTACTAGAATAGCTTATCCTCACGAATAAAAATGTCACGGAATACTCTTTTAAGTTATGAATAATCAGGTTTGTCGTCAAAACTTAGTGAACGACAGTAGTGGAAGTTGGATGCAAATTATATAGGATGTCCATGGCATAATGCCTAAAGATAATATATCAATGTTGTCATGATTAAAAATTTATATATCTATTTAGTCATTATTAAGAAAAGTAAGAAAAAATGTCGTCAAGACTCCCAACTTCATTATGTGAATTAGATATTACCTCGATATAGGTGGTAACTTTTCTTTCACGAATTTTTTCATATTTCTACTTCTTTGTTCCAGCTTTTAGACCTTGGCAGGAAGACTGGAAATAACAAGAAAAACAAACTTTTGTTACACCATACTACGGACAAAATTACTAAAAATAAAGTTGAGATAGACACCAGACCTTCCTCGTTAAAAATACGTGAGAACAAATCCAAGAGATTCCTTATCATCCTTCTTGCTTTGTTCTTAAGAGTCCAATGTACATAAGTCAAGCATATAAAACACGATAAGTATCTGCCAACCTCATCAAGGTGTAAAAAAAAAGTAAAATATGTTAGGAAGTGTTTTAAGAAATTAATATGAGAATACATACCTACACCAAGGTGGATGTTTTAGGCATATGCACGACGCACCGCAGCAGTGGCAGGTGGAGCTGGTCAAGGAGAGGTCGGCCAAGGAAGAGGTAGAGAAGAGGGTCATTGTCTTGGAGGCCGAGCTGAATAGCAGGGAGGTCGTCTGGCACTGGGAGATGGATGAAAAAGAAAGGCTCCTGAAGGGGTATAGGATCCAGAGCTCCAAGCAGATAGATTTCATCGAGGAGCTTCGAAGAGAGGTGGCCCAGCTGAAGGAAGAGGATGTCCATCTACAACAAGGGCTTTCCGAGCGGGACGACCTGTAGAACCCCGTAATTTTTATATGAATATATATAAATTATTAGTAAATAAATAATTCTTTTATGATAAATAGCTTGAGGTCATTGATGTGCATGATAGCAAGTTATTTGAAATGATATGAGGGTATGGGTGTAGAGCTTTGTGTGTTGGAGTTTGCAAAATTAGCAAAACATGCACAAAACTGGAATTTTCCAGATCAGTCGACACATCAGTCGACTGATGGTATCGGTCGACACATCAGTCGACTGATATGCTGATTTCCAGTTTTTACAGGTTTCGGGTCTGTTTTG